TGTGGATCTCTGTCCACCGTGAAGAGCTGCATGTGTTTGAGACGCTACACTAGAGCAGCTCAGAGTCACAGGAGGGTGGTGATCACCGGCATCGGACTCGTTTCTCCCCTCGGAACAGGAAGTGCTCTGCCCTGGCAGCGTCTGATTGGTGGAGAAAGTGGTTTGGTTGCTCTGGACCCAGAGGAGTATAAGACAGTCCCGTGTAAGGTGGCGGCCCGCGTGCCGAGAGGAGATAAACATGGAGATTTCAATGAAGAGGCGTTTGTATCCAAAGGAGAGATCAACAGCATGTCTCCAGCTACAGTTATGGCTGTCGGTGCCGCCCAGTTGGCTCTTGAGGATTGCGGATGGTTTCCCAGAAGCCCTGAGGAGCAGCTCAGCACTGGTGTGGCGGTCGGGATGGGTATGGTGTCTCTGGAGGAAATCGCTCGGACGGCCTCGGCCTTTCAAACACGCGGCTACAGCAAAGTCAGCCCGTTTTTTGTCCCCCGTATCCTGGTCAACATGGCCGCAGGACACATAAGCATCAAACACAAACTCAAGGGTCCCAATCACGCCGTGTCCACCGCATGCACCACGGGAGCTCACGCTGTCGGCGACGCCGCCCGTTTCATCGCTCACGGTGACGCCGAGGTGATGCTCGCCGGCGGGACGGAGGCCTGTGTCAGTCCACTGTCCATCGCCGGGTTCGCTCGCGCTCGGGCCCTCAGCACCAACTGGAACCAGGAGCCCAGACTCGCCTCGCGCCCGTTTCATCCAGATAGAGAGGGGTTTGTGATGGGAGAAGGGGCAGCCGTGCTCGTTTTAGAGGAATACGAACATGCCAAGCAGAGAGGTGCGCGGGTGTACGCTGAGGTGCTGGGATATGGGCTCTCTGGAGACGCCAGCCACATCACAGCTCCAACTGCAGATGGAGACGGAGCCTTTCGGTAATACTGTTTTACTCAATAGTATACAAATAAACACTACACTATTTTGATTGCATCACAACACAACAGGAATTATATACAACTTTATCTGAGGACAGACAGAGTTATTAACTAAAACTAGAACCATAAAAATACATTTTCGTTACTTTAAATAAAACAAATGGTAACTGATATAAAATATAAAAAACTTTATATAAATGTACCAAGAGCTTGTAACACTCCAAAGAGAAAGGAAAAATTCGCATCATATGACCTTTAAATTTACGTTTGCTGTTCTCATTGCATTTACACGGCTTTAGCCAGTAGATGTCCTCAGCGTATTGAGTTTCCATTGGCCTTTACAGCTGCTCAACGTGTTATTAATAACGGGCTCGTTTTTATAATTTCATAACATAGATATTCTTATAGAACACATTATTATTGCTATTATTATTAATCATATCAGTATTATTAATTAGTAATTTGGAGATTAATGTGTAAATCGCGACTTCTGATTTATCAAATGAGGACTTTTAGCACCAAGTCTGGAGACTTGTATTATGGAAAGCACCATGAACCGGATGTCAGCCACTGTCTGTATCTGGTCTGTTACCTTCAGCCGCTGCTGAATCCACGTGAATACAAGTGCGTAATTGAGTTTAATTTCTTTTTAGTTATAATTCTGTGTGAAATGTATTTAAGTTAATGAAGTGGATAGATGGCAATTCGTGCATGAAAATATTCATTTCATGATTAAATGGAGCTTGATAGTGTGATTTTATCTTTCAAGGTTATTCTTTGCTTGAAAGCATATTGTCTGAACAAATTTAAAACATTAAACAATTTTAGTAAACTGTATTTTAATATATACTTAATTTTATTATTTTTTAAAGATATGTGGGTAGTTGACATTTCAAACAGTGACAACTGAGCCAATATGACATGCTATTATATTGTCATATCTATTATATCTAAGCCTATTTAAGTATTTTATATACATAAAATGTTATGTATATAAAATGTTTAACTATATATATATATATATAAGTTTAAAATAGGGTTGGTTAGATATGATAATTTTATTTATTTAATGTTTATTCTGTTGTCTTAGCATAATTTCTTTTTTTATATAACTATTAATGCGCTTAAATCTATACATCTATAATGTTAATACATTAAAATTCTCATTTTTGATCAATTCTTCATGTTGCAACACAACATTTAGAGATTTGTTGAAGTTTTGGGTTCAATTTTAGTCTACTTGATAGTATTTGGTTGTTACAGAGGATTTGAATCACTCCACTGCACATTTGATGTTTATATTTTCATATCTAATATTCTGCTTTATGATAGATGTGATAGATATTATATGATAGCATGTCAGATTGGCTTTTGTATATATATATATATATATATTTAATAGAAATAGAAATATATGTTGGTTAATGTATGTGTGTGTGTGTTTTCACTTCACTCAAATGTTATTCTGAAACAAATGTAGAAAAAACATGAGAAAAAAATGTGTAATAGAAACATAATCATGATGTTTTACTGTGATATGGGTCATGAAATTGAACTACTACTTTTTTCATTATTTTTTACAGTGAAGATCTGATGTGGCCTCAGTCTTCCCAGCACAGGTTGGTCACAATGTCTCTGAGATGCTGTCAGAAGATGTTACTGAGACTCTATGGTGGATCTCTGTCCACCGTGAAGAGCTGCATGTGTTTGAGACGCTACACTAGAGCAGCTCAGAGTCACAGGAGGGTGGTGATCACCGGCATCGGACTCGTTTCTCCCCTCGGGACAGGGTCCATCGCCGGGTTCGCTCGCGCTCGGGCCCTCAGCACCAACTGGAACCAGGAGCCCAGACTCGCCTCGCGCCCGTTTCATCCAGATAGAGAGGGGTTTGTGATGGGAGAAGGGGCAGCCGTGCTCGTTTTAGAGGAATACGAACATGCCAAGCAGAGAGGTGCGCGGGTGTACGCTGAGGTGCTGGGATATGGGCTCTCTGGAGACGCCAGCCACATCACAGCTCCAACTGCAGATGGAGACGGAGCCTTTCGGTAATACTGTTTTACTCAATAGTATACAAATAAACACTACACTATTTTGATTGCATCACAACACAACAGGAATTATATACAACTTTATCTGAGGACAGACAGAGTTATTAACTAAAACTAGAACCATAAAAATACATTTTCGTTACTTTAAATAAAACAAATGGTAACTGATATAAAATATAAAAAACTTTATATAAATAAACTAAAACTACTAAATAAAAATGAATAAATACTATATAGACAGATATAGACAAAAAAACTAATAAAATGCCAAAAACAACAAAATTACTAAATTTTTAATAAAATTAAAGCAAAAACAGAAAATGTAAACATTAAATCTAATTCAATATTTTAAGAAAAATTATAATAGAGTATCAATGATACTGAACTTACACCGATGACAGACAATAAAGAACATTTACAAAAAAAAACCAGGTACTTTGTATGTTTTTGAAAAAACGTATGTATCATTAATAAAAATGTTAAAACCACCAAATTTTCTATTACATTTAATTTTCTTTAATATTTACTTATTTTATGGGTTCATATATATATATATATATATATATATATAAAACCATGAAATTAAGTATATATTAAAATAAATGTATTTAAATGAAATGAGTGATGTCCAGTTTCACCTTGGAAATAAAAAGAAAATCCAGTATTATAGAATAGTTTATCAAAAGATAAAAAGTTAAAGAGACTGTGTACAGAATAAAATAATGTCACACAGCCCTTACGTACACTTATTAGAATACAAATAAACTCATTTTTGTAACCTTTTTGTAAGACTTTTTTTTTATTGCAATATAACAGAAATCATATATAACATTGTTTGGTAACAGGCATTACAGAACAAAAAAGAATATTAAACAGAAAAGAAAAACAAAAACAGTACAAATATAAGACAGTTCAAAGAGGTTCCACAGCCTTTCGATATTTTTTAAAAAGTGCTGTGCATTTTGATTGATCAGAAATAAAATATTTTCAACTTTGTTATTACATTTAATTTAATTTTAATATATACTTAATTTGAGGGTTTTATTATGTAGGCTGTGATGACGTTTGTATGCTTAGATATTGCTGCAGGGATCTAAAAGTGATCCTGAATTATGCAGTTCAGCTCAGTCTAAGCTAGACTTCTGCTGTGTTTCAGGTGCATGTCTGCTGCTCTCCGTGATGCTGGAGTAACTCCTTCAGACGTGACGTATGTCAATGCTCACGCCACCTCCACACCGCTAGGAGACGCAGCAGAGAACACCGCCATTAAGAGACTGTTTGAGCAGCATGCGTACTCACTGGCCGTGTCCTCCACTAAAGGTGCGACCGGTCATCTGCTGGGAGCCGCCGGCGCGCTGGAGGCCGCCTTCACTGCCCTCGCGTGTCTCCACGGCATCCTGCCACCGACACTCAATCTGGACCGCACCGAGCCAGAGTTTGACCTGAACTATGTGGCCTGCACAGCACAGACCTGGAGCTCCAGCAGACGCAGAATCGCTCTCACCAACTCATTTGGCTTCGGGGGAGCAAACGCTTCTCTGTGTTTCGCGAGCCTGTGATTACAGTTGATCAAATCCACTGATATGTCATTATGTAATATTGACCTGTTATTATATGAATCAGTAACAGAGATTCACAACATTGATCCATAAGATGTATCAAACAGCAGTTGTTAACAGCTCTTCACAGTTTACTCTATACTGCATGCATACTGTTTTTAATACGATGCTGTATTCAACAGTAAATGTTTCAGACAGCAGTGTTAAATTGTCACATGAACTCACTGAGTTGCTTAATTCAATTTATTGAATTAATTTTAAATTAAATTGAATTAAGAACGGTAAGAAGCGTATTTAAGAAAAAATTCATTAATTTCATTTAGTTAATTAAGTTGATGGGTGACAATCCGTACACAGATTCAATAGTAAATTAATCTTCATATTTTGATAGAAACTTGCAAGGTTATTCTTTGCTTGTATGCACACTGTCCAAAATAAAATTGTTTTTAAAATGATATATATAATATATAAAATATATAATGTTATATTTGAATACATATGGGCATATGGACAGTTAAATATCATATTAAAAATCTCATATGATTTTAATATGATCTCATATTAAAAATAAATATATATATGTATATGTGTGTGTGTATTTATGTATAAACATTAATTATCTCTCTCCCTTCTCTCTATCTCTATATATATTATTGTTTGATATTAATAATAAAAGCAAAACAAAAGCACGCACATTCCTGTAAAAACTCTCCAACATATTAAATATTACAATTTTGAATTGTATAAAATATAGTAAAATAAAAAAAGTAAAACATTATGCGATGCAATATTATGTACAGTAATTTTTAATTGTGTGCTATTCCGAATTCACCCATACTAGCATTTTCTATCAATTAACTAGTAAATTGATAAAGAACAGATGTTCACTGCTTATCAGATCATTGTTTTCATATAAAGCTGGTCACACAACTGGGACTCTCCGTTACTATAGCAACAGCCGTGTCAACATTAAAGGGTCCAACGTGATAACCAGAACACTTCACGCCTCCTAGCAACTCCCAAATAAACTCCGAAAAACCTGGTCGCTGTCGCTGTTGAGGATTAATTAGATCAGAAGCGACATTAAACTCGTTATTAAGCACTTTAGTTTTATATTCGGCGATCGTTTGATGCATACGTTTGTTTGTTCTTTGTAAGGCGGAACCCGAGATTGGGAGTCCAGAGATCCAGTCGGACGCATTCAAAGCAGAATAAACTGTGTATGGTGTGGTTTCATTTGAGCTAAAACTGCAGGATTATGTTCAAAAACACGTTTCAGAGCGGCTTTCTGTCCATCCTCTACAGCATCGGCAGCAAACCCCTGCAGATCTGGGACAAAAAGGTGAGCAGACCGTGAAAATGATGGTCGACTGGCTGATGGAGCTCAGATGCTGCTAATGCACAGCTAACTTACATAAATGACACATTTAGGTTGTTATTAAAGCTATAGTTTTCATGTAATCTACAGAGGTGTGAAAATTATGGCCTCGGTAACATTATACACGTTCTTGCAAAAAGTACTATGGTATTACCATGGTAACCCCATGGGTTTTGAGCATTACCATGATGACAGTATTATGATAGTATATGAATAACGTTAGTGCTTTAGTGTTTATTAACAGCTTGAATTAGTTATTATTAATATTATTCATTTATTTTATTATTTATCACATTTTCTGTTTTCGTTTCAATTTAGTTAAAGTTTTAGTAATTTAGTTTTTTTTTTTAATATGTCTATATTTATTTTATCTTTATTTAGTTGTAGTTATTTTAGCTGGAATAAAATAAGTGATATATATATATACAGTGGGTACGGAAAGTATTCAGACCCCCTTAAATTTCTCACTCTTTGTTATATTGCAGCCATTTGCTAAAATCATTTAAGTTAATTTTTTTTCCTCATTAATGTACACACAGCACCCCATATTGACAGAAAAACACAGAATTGTTGACATTTCAGGGTTGGGAACCACTGACCTAAAGGATAGAGGTTTATGTAGATATGAGTTATGTATTAACTCACTAGCTCACTAAACAAACATGTTGTTGCAGGTCAGAAACGGACACATAAAGCGCATCACAGACAATGACATCCAGTCTTTGGTTCTTGAGGTGGAGGGGACGAATGTGAGGTGAGTGTTTCCCCGTCCGTCTGTCTGATGCTGAACACACACACACACACACACACACACACACACACACATACACACATCGTGTTCAGACCTGACCCGTGTGTGTCTGATCTCCACAGCACCACCTACATCACGTGTCCTGCAGACCCCAAGAAAACCCTCGGCATCAAACTGCCCTTCCTCGTCATGATCATCAAGAACCTCAAGAAGTATTTCACATTCGAAGTTCAGGTAGGGAATTGGTTTCGTCAAAATAATACAAAGTTGGTTTGTGATGTCAGAAATGTGTGAATGTGTGATGTGTTTCAGGTGCTGGACGATAAAAACGTGCGGCGGAGGTTCAGGGCGAGTAACTATCAGAGCACGACCCGCGTGAAGCCCTTCATCTGCACGATGCCTATGCGGCTGGACGATGGCTGGAATCAGATCCAGTTCAACCTGTCAGATTTCACACGCCGGGCATACGGCACCAACTACATCGAGACGCTGAGAGTGCAGGTGAGACTGATCCAGATCACATTTCACCCCAAAATCAAGAGGAAAACCATAAGAAATTGTGTTTTGCATAAAGAGTACTATTTTGGGACAAATATGTTTTTTAAACTGTGATATATTTCATTTAAGCCTAGATGTGATCAATTGCTAGATTTAATGGTCGATTTATTGTTTATGATTCTGACGGTCAGTCTTATTATAGTTAACTCAACTAAAACCAAAATAATAAAAAAGCATTTCCATTATTTGAAATAAAAACTAAAATAAAATATATAAAAACGTATTTTATTCCAGCTAGTTGCCAAGGCAACATTTTTCATTTTCATTTAGTTTAACTTGACTCACTAAAACTAATAGGTAAAACTAAAAAGAAACAAAAATTAATCAAAACTATACAGACATATTAAAAAAATAATAAAAATAACAAAAACGCAACAAAATTACTAAAGGTTTAACAAAAAAAATAAATCAAAATATTAATAAAAACTATAATAGTATCTGAATGATACTAAAATAACACTGCTGATAGCAAAAAAAAAATTATAAAATGAAAAAAATTGGCATAAATCTAGCAGTAGAACATATATTACCATGATACATGTGACATAATTTCTTTTGCATTAGTTAACTTAATTGTCTTGAAAATAAATAAATTTATAATTTTTTTAAAATGCAAGATTTATACATATTTATATATAAATAAAATAATTTGTATTATATGCATTTATATAATTTTAAGATTATAAGAATGAACTGCTTATAAAAATCTGCCAATACTAAAATAGTTTATAATATCAACAAACTTTGATAATATCTGATATCCAATGTCAGTCTAAACCAGTGTTGATATAAATTATGATAATGGTTGCTAATATGCATCCCGAAATTCAGCCAAAGGTTATTACAGAAGAAGAGACTTCAGTGAAAGCAGATAATAGTTTAGTAATGTATTTACAGTATTAACTATGATATTTGAGCTGAGTTCAATGGTAATTACTGTATGTTGTAAATGCTGTTATTAGAAATAGCCTGAAACTAAAGCTGTCAGACTGTGATTTAGGCGTTTATGGGGTTTGTGATGGCCGTCCTCGTGCCTTTCAGATTCACGCAAACTGTCGCATCAGGAGGGTGTATTTCTCTGACCGGCTGTACTCTGAGGACGAGCTCCCCGCTGAATTTAAACTCTATTTACCAGTACAAAACAAAGCAAAGGTGAGATGCTCATGCACAGACTTTTTTTTTTTTTTACGGTTTATACTGTTCTGTATTAATCTTGTGTATTTTCTCCACAGCAGTGACAGCAGACTGGATTCCTTCATTTCCTCTCTCTGTTTTATCTGCACATGTTCATACTGGATGGATTTCTAGTGGCACTATCTTTGTTGTTTTTCAAGTGTTGTTTTGGAACTGTGATTGGTTTCCATCTGCTGAATAAATATTTTATATGCACAAAGTGAACCCCGATGTCTGTCTGATTATTTTACCTTTACATTTATGCATTTTGTAGACACTTTTATCCAAAGCGACATACAAAAAGGGAACAAAGCCATTTTCTCCAGATATTGTCACATCATATTTCATACACAACTAGATCTGCTGATGTTTTAAAAGATTTATTAAACTGGAACATAAGCTGCCAAAACCTACAAGGAAAACGTAACGTGTCTTCAAGTTACAAAATTTGGCTTTCACTGGAAAAATCTGTTGGTTATTAAATCTCTCTCTCAAATGATTTGTAGAAAGGTACTTTAAATGTAATTCAAAAACTCTTCAAACAAATCTGTTATCACACCTGATTGCGGCAGCTACAATAGAATAAAATTAATTTACATCGCAGTATTATCATAACCATGGTAAATTATGAGTCAACCTAAAACTGTTATCTAGATCCAAAAAAAAATTAAAAAAAATGGGAACAAGCACTGCAGCAGCCAAAATGTTTTAACCAGATAATCAGAAGACAACAAAACGATGATTTCTGTTCACAATATTTGAGAATGTATAAAAAATTATTTACAACATTTGACCAACAGGATGCACCCAAAGGTCTGGTACCAAGTTTTAAGAAAAGTATTTAGCAAAATACAGCCTCACTTATTTGGTGTCCATTATTGTCAGTTACGGCTGGTTCAAGATATCCTCCAGGGGAACTCCTCTGAAAAGAGCTTGAGAGGAAGCAACACTCCTGGTAGAATGAGCTTGAATACCTAGCGGTGAAGAGAGACCTCAGACCTCGTACGCAAGCGAGATAGCATCCCTTACCCAATGAGAAATCCTATGTTTTGATACGACGAGCTCTCTGCGGTCAGCAACAAAACACACCAGCAATTGGGAGGACTTGCGCCATTGGCTAGAGCGGTCCACATAGAGCTTCAAAGCTCGAATAGGGCAGAGCAGGTGAAGCCTCTCGTCCTGAAAAGAAGCAAAAGGAGGAGGACAGAAGGAGTGAAGCACGACCACCTGGGAGCGAAACGACGAGGACAAGACCTTGGGAGCATAACCGGGTCTGAGCCGTAGGAACACCTTAACAAGGCCCGGAGCAAACTCCATGCATGACTCACTAACAGAGAGAGCCTGCAAATCCCCTATGCATTTGATAGAAGCCAATGCCAACAGGAGCATCACCTTAAGGGTCAGAATCTGTTCAGGAGCTGACTCCAAAGGCTCAAATGATGACTTCAATTAGCCCTCCAGGACGACAGACAAGTCCCAGGAAGGAACACTGACAGGGCGCGCCGGCCTCAAATGCCTAACCCCACACATAAACGAAGAGACCAAACAATGTCAACCTAGGGAGACTTCATCCGCATCCCTTTGAGCAGCGATAGCTGCAACATAAACTCTCAAGGTGGTAAGCAGCCGTTCCAGCAACACAAACGTCTCGTCCAGAAACTCCCGCACAAAAACCAATCGGGCAGCTGACTGGATCCACTGCATGAGCTGAACACCACGACTCCAAAACCTTCCACTTGGAAGAATAAAGCCTCCTAGTAGAAGGAGCCCTAGCATTATCAGTGGTTTCCTGAACGTCCACAGGAAGACCAGAGGTCACAGCTGATCGCCCTTGATCGGCCACACCCATAGCCTCCAAATCTCGGGCCGAGGGTGCCAGATCCTGCCCTGGAGTTGAGACATCAGGTCTTTCCTGATTGGAATCTCCCATGGGGTGTGCTCTAGAAGGAAGACTAGCTCCGAGAACCACAAAGCTCGATCGCTGGAACAGCGGCATAACCCTGCTCCACAGAACCCACTAGGTTGGTGAAGTCAGCGTTAGTAAGGCGAGCAGAGAAAGGCTGCTTCCAGGATCTGGAGATTTTGTGATGCAGATCACTGAAAAATGGCAGCTTTCTTCATGAGGGATGAGAATTAGGGCCGCCCAAGAAGTGCTCGTCGAGCTCAGAGGACTGGGACTCACGCAGTTCGTCCGACCACTCAATATTAAGCTTTTCGGTAGCACGCGCTACCGAACTCCATCTGCGAATCTGCGCGAGAGCACTCAGACGAGAGAGGGAGAGAAAGGGTGAGGCCCATCTGCTCACTCTCTATAGCCTCGAGCTCCACATCCGAACCCCAGGCCGCAGATTCATGGAGGGCCTCAGCGGCCTCTGGAGCAGCGTGACGGGGGAAAACGGATGACTCCTTCTCAAAAACCGCGAGCCTTGTGCGAAGAGTTTTGAGACAAAATTACAGTTAAAAGCACCGTAAAAAGACAAACCCATACATTTAAAACTTACTATGCAGTTCGAGCACGCCGGCTGGCAGCGACGAATCTCCATAGCACTTCACCGCGAGGAGAAACGAGGTTCCACTGAATGCAGTCGCTAAAGTGCAAAAGAGAAAGAAGCTGAAACACGGGCCAGATAAATCACTTCTGAAGGGCTAAACGACCACTTCTGAAGGAAGGAAATCTGAGTAGCGGATGGTGTGGTCGCTAGTATTAGAGTGGCGACCTTGTGGCGTCGTGGTGACACCCGCGCCATCAGCCAATGAATTGGCGTGATTCCATACGGGCTTAAGACAATCGGCACACCCAAGGGGCGTTCCCATTGCGTCATAGCTACTCAGTGTTGAGTGAACCTATGAAAGAGAACTACATTAGTGTCCACATAAACAGACGATAACGCCATCTGCCGCTTAAACGCTCGTGCTCTTTAAAGTCAAGATGGATTCTGATTGGCTGTCGATGGTTTTATTTGAAAAAAAAGGTCTGAGTGATTCCCAAGATATCGTTTCTTGATGTTATACTTATATTTTTATAGTTGTGATGTGTTAGTATTTTGCTGTTCACTTATGAGTTAAGGACCATTCACAATACGAACTATAAAGATTACAAAGCGTCCAGACCAACGGACGATAACATTCTGTTTATTATAAGCGTGCTGCAGTTTTGTTGTCCGCCGCTTCAAATACTCAAGCTATTTAAAGCAGGGGTCAGTTGCATAAACATAGCCACTATGTTAAGACTGTCTTAAGAAATAGTTTGACCAACTAGCAGTTAGCCAAGAGGGAACTATTTTCTGACTCAGATTGGGCCAATCTAACTTTTTGTAACTGACTTTAAAAAGTTATGACCAGTCTTGAAGAAAACTATTTAGATGACTTTTTAAGACTAGTCTAAGCAGTTTATGCAACCAGCCCCAGGATGGATTTGACAGGAACGAAAACGCGGCTGAGAGGGATACATACAAAGTCTTAGGAAATGTCTTTCCGAAATAAAAATTCAGTAGACAAAAATTCCACAAAATGGTTTTCAAATTTGAGTTGAGAAAATTACGTGCTCTAGGACATCTTACATCTTTTTAGGCCACCTTGGTACTTGAATCCCATTAAATTCCATTTAAATAACACTACAGGCAAATTAAATGACACATAATATAATTTTGGCTTCAACAATTTCACAGATTCATGTACAATGCTGATATAATGTATATATATATCTCATAAACGATATCTCATAAAATCAACAACAAGTATTGAAATCAACATAAAAGCAGTTACATTCTTTAAATGAACCTTTAAAAGGTTGACAAACGTCATGCATTTCTGAATAAAGTGCAAAAATTCTCAGATTCAGTCAATAGCACCACCAAAGCAACAGCACAGAGAATAAAAAAAACATTACATTTATACTGCAGACACAAATGAGTTCTGAAATGCATTTGGAAAAATACAAACACATTTGTGGCACTTTTGATTTTGCGCCTGACATGAAAATGTCAAGTATGAAATATTACTGAGAAGGCATTGCAATGATGTGCTGCTTTGGCTCGGCAGTGTTAACATTAGATTGCACGTTATAAAACACACCTGCTCAAGTCATTCGAAATAATGATCACATTTGATTTGGGCTGAAGTCTGTTAAAAATCGAATATTTCCCTTCTAAAAATATATGCATTGTTTTTACATTCACCAACTCGGTTATTGCAGAAATGGTTGCGTCATGCCGTGACGCCTTCCGCCGCACTCCCATAATGCATCACGTAATAGTCGTGGACGTACATGAGCACGGCGATTGGCTGGCCGATGATCAGCGACATCCAGACGGCGGCGTTGCCATAGTTTCCCCTCAAGAATCGGCCCACAAAATAGGCGAGCGGGATCTGAAGCAGAAGGAGAATGTGAAATGAGGAATTTTATTTGATGTTTAACAAGCAATATTGAATATTTAAGACTGACCTGTGCCATCATTCCCAGAAACGCCCAGAGGCGAAACATCTTTAGAGGAACACTCACTAAATACTGGCAAAAATTACACAAAACATTGTCAGGACTATTAAAGACACAGGAAAATAGTGTAACATGACTGTAAATTGTAATGTAATGAGCAAAGAAACCTCATGGAAAAACGCCGACATGAAGAACACTGCGATCTGAGCCGCTAACTTATTTACTCCTTTCACCAACATTGGCTTATAAAAGTGTCTGAGGGGAAACAGAGAATGAGAAATCAATGAACAAACTACAGTAAGACATGAACAGACAACACAAACTAATCTCAGAACTGATTTCTGTCGTAATTTGAACACAAACTCAACACTGCTGCAAGAAAACCACCTCTGGCGCACAAATAACAGACAAATCCAATCACAAAAGCTGATAAACTCGGCTTACCGTAGGCACCACTTGTGAACAGGAATGTTCCAGTTCGACCAAAAATACGGAATTGTTTCAGAGTTCCTGCGCATATAAAGATCATCAGTTAAACTCAAAACTACACAGTGTGAAAACGTTCTCATGAAATGGCATCTGCATGCTATTTTACTTCTGCAATGTGATGCATTCAGTGCAAAAAAATAAAAAATAAATACCATGAATCATGCGCACATGTGTTTTTAAAAGACTTTATTTTATGAATTTTGGACATTATTTTTGATATTGGTCTGGAAATAATAATACAACAGTGACTCCAAAAGTAATGCAAGGTCCATTCATTCTAACGATAACTATAACAATAACT